GTGATTTATTTACCGCCAGGTGGAATTAATAATTGCGAGCCGAACTCGTTCTCGTCGTACGTATTGGCAAGCAACCGGTCATCTTCTCGCCTCGTTATTAATTAACAAAGAAACGTTAGGCGAAAAAAAAAACGAGTTTACGAGTTCAATTATAATGCATCGAGTTGTATCTCTAAAGAAAACTAATTAATTACAACAATTTACTAATATAGAAATACTTAGAAGAGGACCGGTAACCTTCTTAAATGTAAACACGAGGAAAAATTCAATTTCAAGCCCGGACGTGACCTTGGAGGCGCTGGACGCGCGAGTTATTGTTTAGGAAGCTGACCGAGGAAATCAGGCCGCGCAAGGAAGGAAGGAAGGAAGGAAGGAAGAAGGAAAGGAGGGCCGCGACGGGAGAAACAGCAGCAGCTGCAACACCCGATACGTATCGTGGCGGGTGCGGGGCGTGGTGGGGGCCTGCGCGCCCGGCAGGGTCACTCCGGAGAGATTATTATCATTTGTATCGGCCGGTTCGTGCAGCTTCGTGAACGGTCGGCAACGCTCGGGCGCGTGGCACGCGTGCCGTATCCCCCACCACGCGCGCCCAGGCCCATCCCGCCTGCTCCCGGTCCCCGGCCCGCATGCACGCTCCTGCCGGGGTGTCTCGGGTATTACCGGCTTGGCCCCAAACCCGGTGCTCGTAAAACTGGGACATTGTGGGCCTGTGTGGAGTGAATGCGGAACGCTCCATTTTATATATATATATTCTTCGACCGGTTCGATGTCATCATTATCGGCCTATTTCTCTCGAAACCAGTGCAGGAGGAATGAAAGGAGGAGAAATTTCAAAAACGGGGGAAATTTTGGAAATTTTTTTCTTTTTAATTATTGTACCCGTGTGTAAATAAAGATTTTTGTCCAGGGGTGGATTCGCACGGTTAGCGCAGCTGTGAAAGAGGAGAGACTTTGATCGTCGGACATCGTGACTAAACTGGTCTGTCGGGGCTTTCTAATACGCGGCGAGGGCTTCCGTTAACGGGCCCCCTCTTAAGGTGGCGATCGACCCTCGATAAATCTCCGCCAATCGGCTGGAAACGTCGCGCAGGCATTAAGGGGGATTACGAGTCATTACATGAATCACGCTGATCCAACGGGACACCTCTAATGAACCTCGATCAATTGGGAGGCTCTTCGTTTAAATACGATCGCGTATTTCGCGTCACGTTTTCTAGCTTCGTATAATTTCACGCGAATCGAGGAATACTAGGAAAAACCGAGATGGGAAAGTAAACGGAGAGGGGAAGGATTAAGCGGAGTGCTTGCGGGGTAAACAAACCAGTTTAAAACCACTTTGTGCGGCCTATGAGAATTTGAAAGAGGCGTGCAAACAGAAAACCATCCTTCGTGCCTCATAAAATGTTACATCGGTTGAGATCTCGTTGAAATCCACCTGTTCCGACTCCCTGTATCCTCCCCCAACTTCAATCTATCTTCAAATAAACATCGATACACGATCGATATCCACTCTAATATGATACAAAGAAGTCTTATCTTTAAGGGATAAGATTTTATTCGCGACGATAATTTTCCTTTCTTTTTTTCGTTTCGAATATATATATATATACTATATTAAGCACGCTTCTAATTAAGAAGATACGAATGTAAATTACCGTCTCTGATAGCACGAACGCTTGGACGCCGGCCAAAAGCGAAAGATAAGAATTATTTAGGATAACGCGACACGAGACCCTCATTTCCGTGCCACGGACAGAGATAAGTCGGAAATTAAGCCCTCCACTATATTTCCCTTCCATCCGTGCAGTCCACGTTAACAGACTGGGGCCAATGATCGATCGAAAAAAAGACTATTGGACAACGCCGAATTAACATAATCTTAGATCATTGGTCCGTGTCGGCCGAAGATCGGCCAATTTGTCGCTTCACCTGCGCTCGTACGCAGCCACATGGAGATTGTGGTTGTCTCTTGCCTCTTGGAACGCTCGATGAAATTTAAACCCTTTCGGCCATACCGAGACCATATTGTCCTAAACGCATTAATTAATCGCATCAGCGTCGTGCATATCGACCATATTGCACATTCTTGCATTTTCGGTGTTGACTCGTGTTCAAGAGAAAAAAAAAAAAAGAAGAGTAAAAAAATACGAACGATCGAGTGTCGTCAAATATTCGAGACGAAACGAAAAATTTTTGAATATTCGCAATTCTCGGAAAAATTTTTCTTCGATTAATAATTTTTCGCGGCACAAGAGAGAAAAGAAATGACGTTCAATCCTTTCGAAGACACGAAATGATACCTCTCCTTCTCCCCCTTTTCCACTTCTTTTTTACCTTCGTTTCCACGTGGCAGATGCCGCAATCAAACAGAAATTAAGCTCTGCAAAGTAGTCGGAATAAACAAGCAGATGGACGACATTGAAACAAAGAGGCGGAGAGAGAAAAAAAGAGGAGGAAGCGGAGGGGATAGAATTAAGGAAATCACCGGTTATATGCCGCGCCACGGTTGAGTCTATCCCCGTCCGATCGATCCCATCCGATCCCAGGGATTAACGAACCGATAAAGCGTTAGGACTGCGTAAATAGCCGGTCTCGCGGAGAACCGTAGAGAATGACCGCAAACTACCCAATCATAGCGTGCAAGAACGCAACGTACACCACGGACTGGATGGTGCGCACATGTGCCCCATTGCTAGACCGAGCCGTGCACTATAGTATACCTTCAAGCGTCAGCAGTTCATTGAGTCCGGCCTAAGTACGCATACCAGTGCAGCAACGAGCGCATGTGCCGATGCGTCACGGTGTTCCTTTCTTTCTCTATCTTTCGCGCCTGTTCCCGTTCATGTACCGTGCATACATGAAACGCCGCTCTTCTATATGGCAGCACGTATGAATGAAAGAGCGGCGGACGAAGAAAGGAACGAAGGGAGTCGCGTGACGGATTCACGTGTTCCGCGGCTATCGACCGAACCGCCACGTTGCGAATCATGCGTTGTGTGTGTGTGTGTGTATGTGTATGTATGCGAACGCGTCGAAGATACAAGCGTTTTTCGGCTCATAAGAATTGCGTGAGAAAACTGGGAGGAAAATTAAACGTACACCTGTTAATTCGCTCGACCCTTTTAAATTAATTTCAGTCACGTTATTTTTCGTTCTCGCAGATGTGAATGTAACGTAAATAGATCTATATATATATATATATATATATATATGTATATGCATTGAGGTTGGTTAGAACGAAAAAAATTAATGAAGCTGGAATTATTAAATTGACCAGTCGAGTAATTGAATCGATAGGTTAAAGAATTGTTCGATAGGTTTTAGTTTTTTTTTTTTTTTTTTTTTTTTTTAAATCGAATCGATAGAACTTTATACGTACTTTTATATACATACAACAATAGGAAAGAAGAGATGATCGAGATGAAGATATCGAGGACTCGATCAAGATCGATCTTATCGGATAAAGTTTCCAAAGGGTTGTTTATATATATATATATATCGTCTTCTCTAATTTCCAGGATTATCTCGATCTGTTTGTACACAAACTGTACACGAGCTAAGGGAACGAGAGAGAGAGAGAGAGAGAAGGATTGGTAAAGAGAGAGGGAGGGAGGGGACGCAATCACATCCTTACAAGTGTCATCGAGGACGAAAAAAGGTAAGGGGCGTGTATGTAAAGAGCGTGGAGAAAAGGACGGAGAGGAAGGACTACTTGCGGCGTGGTGGCAAAAGCGAGGCCGGAAGTGGTTCCATCTGGCTCCCTCGTTGGTCTGACCTGTTGAACCACCTCGTGACCGGAAGTATACCATACACCTACGGGCACCACGAAAACAACAAAGGCTTCTTTCTGCCCCGTGACGCGTTATCACTCCTCCTAACGTATGTTTACTCGATCAACCGGCCACGATTTCGCTCTCCTCTTCAACACACACACACACACACACACACACACCTCCTTGTTCCTTCCCTTACCGTGATTATCTATATTTTCCTACGAAATTTTTTTTTTACCATTTGCAAGCTCGAATCTGGAAAACACGAGCGAAAACACACAAGTTAGTTTTTGTGATGTTGAATTTACGATTGCGCCATTGCGGGGCCACGGCACTTTGCGGGGCGACAGGCTGCGAAAGCTAAATAAAGGGAAGAGGGACGAGGGGACGAAAAATGCGATTCGCGCCGGGGAACAATAAAGGGAGGAGGGGGGGGGGAGGGGAGGAGGAACGTCGATTCGTGCTCGAGACAGGTCCAGGGCATTATGTTCCGGGCACAAAGGCCCGCGACGAGCGGTATGGGCACCCCGTAATAATCTGTCACCCCGTACACCGTGCCACGTATACTTAATACTTATATAGGCGTTTCGCACAGAGGGGTACCCCGAATAGGGGTACGGGGGTTCACCGCACCCCATCAGGTTTTGCAACGTGAGTGACGTCACACCGGCCCAGGAGACGTTCATTGAAAGAAGCGGGAAGGGTGAGGAACCCAATAAGGGAGGAGGAGATCACGAACGACTCGCGGATAGCGGAATATGGCATAATTTGTAAAAGAAGAAATTTCGAATCGAATCGAGTTAGCTTATGTATTGTAAGAATGGCGCGCGGGAAGTGAAAATATTCGTCGACGATAAAAATTGCATCCTCTGTGAAAGAAATTGGGCTCGAGGCGACGAGAAAGTGAAAAGTTGGGGGGGGGAGGAGGAAGAGGAAGAGAGCGACACCTCGGCATAATCAAATTAACGGGGACGTAAGCAAATTCAGCCCGGTAACCCGTCCGTCCGTGGTGTGCGAGCGTATCGCGGCGCGTAAGAAGCGTAATACGCTTAAAAAGAAGGGTATGACGTCACGAGGAGGTGGCACGCGGCGCGTGCCGTCGGATGGGGTACGAGTTATCGTGGCTCGTGGGACAGAGACAAGAGACAAGCCGGGGAGTGTAACCGGTGCAAGTTGGAACGAGGGGAGGTAGTGTGGAGAGAAGGAATGGGAAGGAAGGAGGAGGACGAGGATATAAAGATGAAGGAGGAGGAGGAAGAGAAAGACAGGCGCCCCGAGGAGTCTCCACGACAGACAAGCAGGCAGGCAGGCAGGCAAGCAAGCAGGCAGGCAAGCAAAGCGGGCAAGAAGTCCGCACGAGTGGCTGGGGTGTCGTACGGAGGCTATGGTGGTGGGGGTGGGCGCGTGCAGCCGGCCTGCAGCTGCCTCTTTTACCATCCTCTTCCCCTCGTTTCCCTCGCCCAAATTCCCCGTACCCCTCTAGAGTTCCACACGTCGTACCACCGGCGCAGCCGCTACCCACCACCCCTCTAGTTGGCCAACCCCTCCCGTCGGGGGCCTGGCGGGACCACAATTATAAGTAGGGGTGCTCCCGGCTTACTACCTCCAGTCGAGGGTTGCACGCCGTGGTGTGGACGCGCGGATACATAGCCCGTCGTTCCGCAAACTCGAAGCGCACGCGTGTACGGGAACGAGAGAGAGAGAGAGGAGAGGATTTCAGTTAAGAGGAAGACGGACTATAGTTTACTATTCTCTGCTATCCAAGGATATATTCCCCCGCATTGCCGTTGCAGAGGGAGAAAGATAGAAAGTATAGAAGGGGATAGAAGGGGATAGAAGAGGCGCGCGCACTGACACCGTATAGTTAACACGATTCAACGTCCCGAAGTTCCTATACGGTCATCGTGCACGCGAAAGCAACCGAGATCGGACTCGCCATCTGTCGATCGCGCGTTGCTAGTGTTTCGTGAGCAGTCGATGGTTATAGTGATTCCCCGAGTGGCCACAGTGTGGCGCTAGTGTTGCCTATTAGTGGCGCGGAAACACGTTCGACGAATATATACAGCTTTTTCAGTGGGAGTTATACGATCGTGTACACACGTATATACGGTGTACATATCGAGAGAACGGAGAAGGATAGGAGTGCATTTAATAGGACACAGAGCGAGATCAAGCTGTACTCGTATACGGACGTATGTACGCACACGATTAAGGAGTACTTTCACAAAGGAAAATACGGGCTTACTGGCACCGGTACCACGATCAAGGGGCGCATCTCTGGATCCAGTAGTAGCTCAGCTGCGGAGTAGTGCCTTTCGTGCCGGTTCTCTATAGTGTGTAACTTCTCCTGCTTTCCCCCCTCCCTTTAGCTCTACGAAAACTTTTCCCCTCTGTCGGTGTGCGAAGGCAAAAGCACATTGACTCTCCCGTTCGTCTTTGACTCGTCACACACTGTGAGGGTATCCTCGCTCCACCTCCACCTTTGCCTGTACACCACTACCCTTCTCTTCTTCCTCCTACTCTTTTCTCCATCACCACCTCTACCACCACCACCACCTCTACCACCACCACCACCACCACCACCACTAGCATCACTTCTCCTCTCGTGCTACTCTTGCCGGCGGTCTCCGAGGGAATATTCCTCACGGTTCGTCGACGGCCAGTCAGTGCGCGACTCGTCGTTGTTGCGACGGTTGGCGAGGAGGAGAGTGTTGTATACGTGCCTTTTCGTGGAAAATTATGCTCGTGGCGGATTGTCGTGCTCCTCGTCGACGTAGTGGCTCGTGTACCGCGAATGAACGCTCGACACGAGCGTAGTTGTGAGATTTTTAATATCGATCAAAGAGCTGACGAAAATAAAAAAAAGATTATCGAGTACACGATCTGTCTACTATATTATACATATATATACACACATAGAGACAGGGAAAGAACCCGGAGAGATATTCAAATCATCATCCAACGAATAGAAAGAGAGAGGCGTCGCCCGAAGGATCGCAAACCATCAGTGTGTTTTTCATAGATCCTACGCGCAAAAGTATTTATCCCATACCCTGTTGGACGAAGCTGTTCTACGACTCTCGGCGTCCCACGGATAATGGAATAAAGTGTGTCACAGTGTTCAGTGATCGCGCGTGATTTTCTAATATTCTCGCGGCTACCGTGATTATCTCTTTGCCACCGGATATACATGAATATAAATAAATAAATAAATAAATATATATATATATATATCAACGTCATTTTTTTCTGAGTGTATTATACAGTGTGCTACAGACCAGCAGAAGTGACCGCGCGGATCATCCGTGAGTTAGCTTCGTTTCGACTTTATTTTTTTTTTTCATTTTGCGTGAAGTATAAGCCGGCAATAAGTTTTCTTCGACACATATTGAAACAAGGATTACGTATCGACATCTTGACGAAATCGACCGACGAAAGAAGGAAAACAGTGTGTGTTGAAGGAATACAGTAGCTCGTACCTTCTACGTACGGTGGCTATGCAGCCTCGCGAAATTACGGCGAGGAGGTAACGCCGACGAGCACACCAGAGCACCACGGTCCACACACTTCCGCCGACGACGCATCGGCGGCGTGTAAACATCGAACGAAACAACCACCAAACATGTGGACCACGATGCTCGTGTGGACGGCCGCCGTCGTGCTTCTGCCAGCACCCCGAGCGGTAAGTTTGATTTTTTATGATTTTCCTTTCATCCTTTTTACAATTCATTTCAATTCCATTGATTGTACATTTCGAAATTCGAAAAGATAGAAATTCTTTGAAAAGAAGTTTATTTAGGCGCGAAGTGTGAAATTTGTCAAAAATTTAAATGCCGCCTTTTCTTCTTTTTTCTTTTCTTTTTTTTTTTTTTTTTTACGTTCTGCTCGAAAAAAATACTTGAGGGTTTCTTGGAAATATTTCTGTTTATTTTTAGAGGAATGGTCGCTGTATAACGCGTTGCAAAACATCTTTTTAAACGGACGTCAAGATGTTTTACAATCGCTTCTTCCGAAATATCTCGTGCCTTAGTCTCGTCATTGTTTCATCTTTTTTTCAAACCTGTAATTCTGTTTCAACGTTGATAAAATAGAATTTCGATCGAGTAAAAATAATCAGGATACACGACACATCATGAATTACGTTCTATTAATTTTTTTATCCACAATCGTCTCGTGTTCCGTCAATCATCGCTCCGCTCGGTTTCATGGGAATATTGCTTAAAGCGTAATTGCAACGCGCCATCTTTCCAAACTAGCAAAAAAGATTAACTACGATCGATCGATAACACGTATTATAATAGAATCGAATGGGATCACGGAAATTTTGAAAACTTGCAGTACTTCTAACAATGGAATAAGGTGTATGAATATACGAATGAACGGATTATTTTGTCAACGTATTTAATCCGTGTCGCATGTTGTCAAACGAAATAAAGAGAGAGATAACCTATACGTTTGTCAACTGAAACATCGTAAGCGACCTTCGTCGTTGTCGATGAATGGCGCGATGTTTTGGTTCGGAATCCAAGAGACGTTCCCCGTCTGTCAAACCGGTCGTAAGCTCTGTTGGTATTTATGGTAAAAACGATGACACGCCATCGATGGGTGCGTTCAGAATAGAAGCTCGTCTCTATATATTTACAGTCTCGTTCTGGTGTGTGCGCGCGCACACTACCGATACGTTCTCCCGCGTCTAATTAAGTACTTGCGTAAGTGCGATCGCGGCTTATATTTATCCAGTCGAACGCTATATCTGTAAATGTGTGTACGGTTCGATCGAGCTGCAGAATGCTTTCCAATTTTAACTCACCTTCAATCTGTTTTTCTCCCTGTCTCGTTTTCCTTTTTCTATATTCGTTCGGGAAAAATTTAGTTTCATAAAAATCAACGTAACAAAGTTCGTAAGTTTCGTGTTTCGTTTAGTATAGTTTCGTTTCTTTTTCACGCGCTAGTCACCACGGGTTCCAAGTGTATTCTTCCTGGGAGAGATGTTTTTTTCATTCTCTGCCTTTCTCTCTTTCTCGCGGAGTCCTTGCTTCTTTGCTCTGCTCCTTGTCCCTCCTTCGCTTGCCGTCCATCTTTTTCTTCCTCTGTCGGCCATGTCTCGAACCATCCGACGAAAGAGGAGAAAACCAGTGGCAACAATTATTCGCCGACATACAACAACTCTAAATCTGGATTCACTCTTTTAGAAGTGTCTACCTTCTCGTCATCTCTTCTACGTCATTTCGAACCGTTTTTTTCTCTTTTCACTAACATCTTTCCGACTTTCAACCAATTGAATGTGGTGCAATTTTGATACTGGATCTAATCTTTTATCGTTCCTATGATCGACGAATCGAAAAGTATCGAGATATAACCAGAATGTGATATGGAATCACAGTATTCAAGGGGTGCCTGTAGAAAATTGTTTTGTGACGAAATAACGTTGGTTGTATCCGTAAATAGTCGGCGGCGGCCATTCTCGTTCCGAGAATAGCGCTCCAGCGCGCCAAAAATGAGAATTCCTCATCGAGAATCGTGGCGAGTCGCTTATGTGTACGCGTTACCTCTAACCTGCTGTGTTTTACGACGTGTAATGAAAAAACGTTCGCGAGGAAATATTTCTTTCGTTCGATCGAAGTCATGTATATTTTTTCTTGTTCCGATTGTTAAAACTCGTAAAACGTCTCTTGTAATTTTTCTTTGTATGCAAAAAACGTGTGAAACGACCATTTTAACATAAACGCGATAAAAAAAAAAGCACTTTTTTGTGTTTATTTTTTCACCTGCTGAAAAAAAGGAGAAAGAATGTCGGTGTCTCAGGATACGAAATTCGAAGATCGCAACGGGGGTATAATGGACGTGCAGGAGGGCCATGGCGAGATCGTAAAACGATCCGCAGGCTCGATAGTAAGGTTAGTGCGCTCCTCTCGTTCACGTGAGACACGATATATGTATAGTTTTGCTCGACTATACAATGTCTCGTGGGAAGGCTCTCTCGACTGTCTGCTGGCCTATACGCTACCTTTGTATGTGCACTTGCGCACCTGTGAATGTTGTGTGTGTGTAGTGTGTACGCGCGTGTGTGTATATACGTATAGCCTTAGGCCATTGTCCATAGTGGTCAAGAACTCTCGCCGTCCGAACGACGACAAAGAGCAGGAGAAATATTGACATATCGACTCTATTTACACTGGATACTGTCGCCGAAGGAAAATCATTCCTCCCAAAATGCTCTTTGATTCACGAATCTTAACCTTTATATGTGTTTACGCCTGTTACTAAAAGTCTTCGTAGAGTGACATTGTAGGATAGTAAACATTTTGTTACAAAGTAATCACTAGTTCGATTCCATTCGATCGATTTGAGGTTTCTATTAAGATGAAATACAAAAAATCCTCTAGATGTCTCTAGTTGCGCAGTTTCTTCGACACATCGAGAATCGCGATTAATTTTTCGTTAGTATAGTAATACGACGAGAAACGATCGGTAGCATATGCGTATAATACATTTATGACTGATTCCAGCCACCTTCTTTTTTTCTCCTTCTCATGAAAACGCCCCTCGTGTTCCATAATCATCGAGGCTCGACAGCACGCGTCGCGAAATGTCCATCTGCGCCTTTAGCACTCTTTTCTTCTTTTTTTCTTGAGAAGATCTTTCTCGCTCGCGTCTTTTCGAACGAAAAAAAGCACTTTTTGTCGCGTCACTAGCGCGGATATCTGTGCTCCTCCTGGGAGATGTGCAGCACAGAAGATATACGCGTGCGCAAAAACGCGCTTACACACGTGCTGCCCCGGCGGCGTGTTCGGTCGTTGGGCACGAGACGACCCCCCGACGTGGAGTGTGTTAGCCAAGTTTGTTTGTCGCGCGTTACACATTCGCTCGAAGAATTCGACGGTTTTCTCGTATCTTCTTCTGTCGTCGCTAACAGTTCGCAGAATCAAGTTAAAGTAGGGTATAAAAAGTTGCGTCAATGGCGGAATCAAATGTGTTTTGCGTTTTTAATCTTTTTCACCAAGTGGCGCTGGTGCGGTGTTTGAATAATACGTTGTGATTATGCGTTCAAGATTCATTATTGGTTATGTTGTAATTGATACATAATAGAAATTGATAAGGTTAGAAATATCGATGATTGTTCGTTTAACAGAATTTTTGTTGAATGAAATGTCGATTTATTTTCAGGTAAATGCTTCTGGGGTGTTCGAGTTGAGGCTGAAGTCATTCGTGAACGAGTATGGAAAAGACAGTCTTGGCAAGTGCTGTTCAGGCAGCACTTCCAAGACTGGCGAGTGCTCAGGCGTTTGTAAGACCAGGTTCAGGGTCTGCTTGAAACAATATCAAGTGAAGATCGACACGACGACGCCGTGCACATACGGCGACGTCGTCACACCCGTTCTGGGCGAGAACATCGTTAATCTCAGCCCCAATGTCGCCATTCCAGGCTTCACTAATCCCATCAGATTTCCATTCGACTTCACGTGGCCGGTAAGTGTCTTTAGATATCATATATTTTACGCGTTATTTTTCTAGAATAATAATCATTTCAACGAAAATAGTATATTTATACCGATATTTCAATTCTGCAATAATTATAAATTTTTTATATCTGCGAGGTTAAGATTGAGGTTATTTTCGATCGTTTATACACTTTAATGATTGCAAGTATGAAACATCGTTAAATAATTTCCGACTGTTTCTATTAAAAATATTATCTTCATATCTGACAGAATTATGCGATAGTACAGATAAGTAAAACATCGTCTATGTTTTATGCTTCTGCTTTTCCATACTTTTCCATACCACAAGCATTAACATATCGCGTGCGTTAGAACGCGAAAAATCATTGGTAACATAAACGGAACTGAAAACGACACGTAATAAATCGTGGAAAAAAATTGATCTATTATGAATGCCATCGTATGCAATCGTGTTTTTCTCACGCGCATTTGCGAAACGTTTATTAGATAAACGTTTCCCGCCTGCTACAAAGACTTCATTTCCAACGACAATCTTCCTCGACGATCGTGGTTCGTTATTTTTTCGCCGTATCGTATCGTATCGTATTTTTACTGTATCGTGTCAGTTAAGTAAAGGAAGGAGATCATTGTAGAGCGTTTTGTTGGTGATCAGAGCGTGTTGTGGATACAGTTAGCCGATTTTCTGTTGTATATGTGTATACATAATGTCTCTTCTTATATCTCTGACGAGGGGAAATGACACCGGTTGACGAACGCGGTTCCCAACTTTGATCCTTGTCTTGAATAACGCGCGCGGAAAATTAAGACCCTTTCGTTGACTTAACCGTGAGGGAGACATGTGCGAGCTCACCGGGGAGTAAAAATTGCTCGTTGTATCAGATCCAATCTTTGCCCCTTATCTTTCCACATTCCCGGCAAATTAATTCTGGCGCGAGCTAAATTATAGTCGGGTCAACTGATATTTTTATATTTTACAAAGTTGCTTGAAAACGATACGATTTCTAGATTTGAATTTTTATAAAAGGAAAAATTATCAAAAGTGATCTTTCCTTTTTATTTATTTTTATTTATTTCTTTGTATCACTCTGTATAACAAAAAAAAAAGAAAAATAATGCAACTCTTTGAATTACGTTGCAGAGAACTGTTAGCTTCTTATCTTTGTTCGCTTTCTACTGGTAGGATATCCAACCATTTGGTTAGGTTGTAAAAAGGTTTCTTTTAGCGTAGCGTGATATTTATTTCTCCCATTTCCGTTAGGATCGATAAGGAAAAATTGAAAAGCAAATTGGCTGATTAGCTCGTCTCGCTTTGCTTGTATTTTTTGAAAGCCAGGCCACTTTCCATTGTTGAACACGAAATAAAATTGCGTAAAATCTCACGAATACATCGCACCTGCCCATCGCACGTATAACTGATCGCCTCGAGTAATTAACCTCGTGGCGAAAAAAAGGAAAAAAGAAAGAAAGAAAGAAAGAAAGAAACGAAGGAGAAGAAAAAGAAGAATTCGCGAGGAAGGGAAAAATTACAGAGCCCCCCTTCGTCTTCTTCCTACTTTCTCGCGGTCGCGACGAAAGAAAGGCAGGTCGATCGCATTAAAAACGAACGTTTCGTGGCACGATGCGCGCGTGCACGCACAGCCGCGCGCAACAGTGCGACGAGGATGGCCAAACCAATGGCAGATGGTGCGAGAACCAGCGGAGCAAGCAAGACGAACGATGGCACTTGTCTCTCCCTCCTGCTGTTACTGTTATTACTTGCTTGTTGTTGTTTCGATAATTCTTGACATTGGCGGGAACAGTATAATTTTTCCAAATAATTCAGTAGTTTCGTAGATTAATTTTTACACAGATGAACGTTCCCATTGTTAATCGAATGTCACGTAACGTAGAGGTTAGAATGTTTAAAATAAAATATCTTTATCTACAAGGGAAAAAGTAGGGGTCGTTAGTTTTAATATTTAATATTGTTACATTCAACAATAACGTCATAGAGAAATACCATCAAGTTCAAATATCCTGCAAGTTATATAAAGCGACACATTCTCAAGATGGCTCGTATATACGTCCGCTCGTTAACGCGTGCCATCGAGTACCATATCTACGCCAATGTTTGCCCACCATCTCTGGTGTACGTCAGTTCTTCTCGTTGCTGTTCGCGTATAGTACTTCTGCCTATGAGACGCACTGCAGGGCCACTGGCAGATGGCTAGGCCTTTTGTGCTTCTACACTTCCTCGTAATCTCTCTCTGGCTCTCTCTCTCTCTCTCTGTCCTTCCTTCTATTCCCCGTCCTTGTTGTCTTCGAAGCTCTCTCGCGGGCAGAGTTAAATTTACTAACCCATATGGCGCCCCTCGCGCCACCTCTGCGCCAGTTCCCCTGTCTCACTTCAAAAATCCGTCCTGCTCGTTCTTTTCCTCGTCGTGTTTTAAAGCCGCGTTTCTCCATTGTTTTTCATTTTTTTCTTTTCTTCTTCTTCTTCTTCTTCTTCTTCTTCAACAGCGTGTTATTTATTTATCTTTTCGCTCTTCTCTCGCTGATTTTTTTCTCGTCGAAATTTTTCTACCGTATCCGTTTAACCTGCTGCCCTCTGTCTCGACTTTCCTCTCTTCCCCCTCCTCCTGACTCTTCACTTCCCTGTAGTATCGGCCGATATTACAAGCTATATCGGGCGGCAAAAGGCTGCCGGTTCGAAGACAGAAACTCTTCTCGACGATGAGGAAGGAAAAAAAAAAAAAAAAAGAATTGACGTTCTTGGAAGAGAGAAGGCTGGCCGGAATCCTGCGTGTGGAAACAACCTTTGAATCGGCACGGTAGTCTGTCTTCTTATACCAACGGCGGGCGACGTGAGGGAAAAGGAATAGGCGGCGGCGTCGTAACGTGTAATCGCTATTTGGAGTGTCGGATTTATTTTCGTTGCGCCAGTGCGTGAGAATGGGTTTTCATTCAGCAAAAAAAAAAGAAGAAGAAAGAGAAGAAATCCTCGTGTAACTCGATAACAATCTTTCTATTCTACGTATTCATTTAATAAGGAACAAAATCTGATGAAAAAAACGTGTAACGTGGAAGACAATTTTTATTCGAAAGTATTTAACGCTGTATCCCTAACGAGGAGGAGAGAAGGAGGAGGAAATCCTTCAAAGTCTGAACGCACGGACGGATCGACGGAAATGCGCTAATTACAACCACTACCGGGAGTCGCGATGCGTAGACGCAAAAGCAACAATGTATCATTAATAACAGTTATGGCTTCTTGGATAGTGGACGAGCTTCTTTCACTCAATGCGTGAAAACACGACGAAAAGACGACGGGTTGAAATAAATAAATACATGCCGCCTTCCCTTCGTGATTTTCTACGCTGGATTCATTCCTGAATTCCTTTCTTAATTACCATCTGTCGGCCGATCCACGAGATAAAAAAGATGATCGTCGTGTTACCAAAAGTTAGTTCAGAAAAATAGTGAGGAGAAGGTTGGTTGGTTGCGCAAGCGTGTTCTGGAATACGCATGTCTGCCGTTAATTAAAAGACAGAAAAGTTCCCCCTAGCTTGGATACACGTAATCGTAACCTTCGTCTGGTTGCATCAAGATCGAGAGTCGTCCCGCTCTTCCCGTCTCTTTCTCTCTCTCTCCGTCCTTCTTGGGTTAATTGCTTTACGTTACACCGTGTTGCGAGACTTATTAAAACAGCACGATTCGCGACAGTGCCGCTATTGTGCAGAATCGTCGAGGAATTCACTCGATTCTGTCGAGTTCTGAACACGATCTTTTCCTTTTATTATGATTACGATATCTTTCTCTATTTCTCTTGATATTCGTTAATTATTATTTTTTTTTTAACCTACTAAAATTTTCTGTGCTTCTATTTCAACGTGTTTCATTTATATATACATACCTTTCATCGGTGAGATTTTCCCTCGCGAATTCTTATCGATAATTTCTCGTCATCGTAGGTAACGTAATCCTTATTGTCACCCGAAAACGGTTGCACAAAGATGATCGGGTCGGTTCAAAGAATCATTAAAAAAATTCCTTTCTTTTCCTTATATCTTTCCTGTGTGTCCGCGGTCCACAAAGCACAAGCGGTGCCGCGCGTATCGTACATACTCGAGGATCGTGGGTACGAACCGGAGAAGGACGTCGAGCACGGTGAAAAAGAGAGAAAAGGACAAATGAAAGGCTCGCGCCGCGCGACCAACAGAGACGGCTAAGGATAGAGAGGAGCATAAAGGTGGCATACACACACGCGCGCATGCGCTCACGTGTGTATATATATATATATTTTATATATATACGTAACCAACCGCGTGGAGAAGGTGGGGAAATGACGAAGAGAAGGTGGGACCGAAAGAGACAGAGAATCGTGGTCCCACGGCCGAAAAGGCTGCGTGATTCGCGTCCCAGACGAAGGAACAAGCGGAGAAGGGCGTCGGATGAATGGCTGACTCGGGTATACGCCGATACGCGGCTTCCACGACGTGAAACGTTTAGCATAAATTACGTCTTAGAGACGGGGAGAGGACTCGAACGCCGGCTGACCGGTACTCTACCCGACTCAGCTCCACGATGCTCGGAATACCACGAGTTTTTTATAACCGAGATATACACCGGGGGGATTCGGTGAAAGTTTTGCAATTGTAGATGTCGGTGATCTCTCGAGGCAAGTGGAAAACTGTCGCTTCGTTCTTTTTCATCATTAAAGGCTTATTAATAGAGATTGATGAAACAATATTAATTCTGAATTATGCTGTAAATAGTAATATTAAAGAGTATAATATTTTTGGAAAGAAAATTTATGCTAATCGTTTTATTAAAATGATGTATCCGTGAATTCGGTCATGATATTCATACTTGCCAAATTTAGCGTTTCTTTTGCGTTTCTGATGACGTAAGATACTAGTATAATGAAGTTTGCCGCGAACAGACGAAACAGTAGAAACCTACTTCACGATGCATAACTTATTGCTAGTAAGATTTTAGACTTAGCAGAGTATCTTTAGAATCACCCGC